TACCCGTGTACGCACCGACTGATTGCAGAAATAAGGGATGATTTCTACAGCAGTTTTCCTACGTTGCTCCGAAGTGTCCTCTCCATGGCTATTGTTGTAATCACCGCGAGGTTCACGCATAAGAGTGATATCGGGATAAACTGAAAAAGCGCCCAGGTGAACCACATACAATTCTGATGAATCGGATGGACAATGCTTAATCCAAATTTGCACGGACCACGGTTTGTTCCTAATAGCAACAAGCTTTCGCACAAGAACCGACACTGCCAAACACCGAACCACCACAGCTAGTCTTTGTGGTGGAGACAGGTCGATGCCATTGTTATTAGCAACTGCTCGTGGAGATCCATCCGAGACTGCCGCTCTCCTGCATCAGTACCTGTGGATACAGATCGTGCTCTGACACAAGCTAATCAAAGAGGTTGTTGAGAGATCTGTCAAAACAGATGATTTCCGGAACAGGATCAAAGCACAAACAATGGATTTTTCCGACCTCTGTTGAACGCTCGCATAGCCATTCCGAGGAATGCTAAATGAGTTTATGCACAAATCGTTTATACGCCGGCTCATAAAGAACCTGGGGAATGACCACAAAGTGATAGTCAGCGGAATGTAAAGAAGTAGAGAAACTGCAGCTGACACTAACAGTTGCTTTTTCGTTTAGTTAAGAGAAAATGCGTTAAACAAGTAGTCCGACGACTTTCTAAAACCATTAAAAATGTACCTTCATGCACCGGTTTAGCCTTTTGGCCACCTATTTGGATAAAAGACAAGAATGAAAATTGGAATGTCGGAAGCAAATACAAGGGGAAGATAGAGAAATTATATAGACCACCACCAGCACCACCCCCGTATGAAGCGTCGAATAAAATATTTCAAATGACAGCTTAAAGTTAGACATGTCAACTTGCGTTTCAACACGGTCGTGGTTGATATCAGTCGCCGCCTTATTCTATCTNCTATCTGAATCCTCTACCCATTACAGGTCCTAACTTTCTACTTCCTCCCCCTCTCTACTCCATCTAACTGAATGACCAACAGACCTAGCACAGAGATT